TGCGGTGCGGTGGGGCGGTGGGAGCCGCCGCCGCGGCCGACGCCGCCGCCGCGGCCTCGTGTGCGGCCATGTGTTTGTTGAGGTACGCGTGGCGCCGGAACTTCTTCCCGCAGTAGCGGCACTCAAACACCTCGTCCTCTGACATGGAGCGGACGAACTGCAGCGGCGGACACGACACCGACGGAGGGGACAGCTGTCGGTGCTGTCGGTGCTGCCGCTCCTCCAGCTCTGTCTTCCCGTGGAGCAGCAGGAGGCTGGACGGTGGACTGTCCGCCGCTCTGAGCTGCTGCTGCTGCTGCTGCTGCAGGTCCAGGCCGCTCTCCGCCGGATGTCGGTAAAGATCGGACGAGAAACGGGGAAGTGGCGCGAGGCTGAGGCTGTCCCCGTCCCCGTCTCTGTCCCGTGAACGCGCATTCAGCAGAAGCAGCGTTGTTTCCCTCGGTCTTCCGCTGTCCAGGGCTCCGTGGTGCTGATCTCTGTCCAGGGCTCCGTGGTGCTGATCTCTGTCCAGGCTGTCCAGGGCTCCGTGGTGCTGGTGGTGCTGATCTCTGTCCAGGGCTCCGTGGTGCTGTTCATTTCTGTCGTTTTCTTTGCCCTCCACCTCCAGCGGCTGCACCAACCTCTCCTGGTTCTTTTGCCTCCCGCTCTCCCCTCCACCTCCACCTCCACCTCCCGGGGCGGTGACGGGTCTCGGCTTGTGCCAGCGGCGGTGTGAGGCCAGGTTCGCGGGGCAGCTGAAGACCTTCTCGCACTCGGGACAGCGGTACTCCACCCGCACGATGCGGGAACACTTGTGCTGCGCCAGGGAGAAGGGGTCGGAGTATTCCTCCTTACACAGCTGACAGATGAACTCCCTCAGCGGCTGAGTGCCGCCGGACACCGAGGACTTGTCCCGGAGCTTTCTTAGATCCGGACTCTCCTTTTTGATCCGCAGACCCAGAACCGGTGAGGTCGTGACCTCGTCCTCAAAGCTAAGTTTCCGGTTGACTTTAGCTTTCTTGGTGGTTGAATGTTTGCTGTTGAAGCGTTGGTCCTGGTGGAGGAAGAAGCGTTTTTTCTCCGGCTTCTCCTGGCTGCTCAGTGTCAGCGGTGGGAACAGGTGCAGCGGGGTCAGACCCGGGTGTTTGCTGCTGTAGGACGGCGGCAGGTGACGGATGCTGCTGTTCGTGAGAAGCCTCTCGATGGAGGCTGAAGTTTGGCTGGAACTCACCGAGAACGGCAGGTCTGACACCGGGGGTGAAGCCAAACACCTGCCGGGGTAGAGCGGGTGTTTGTCGGCCCGGTGCTGCTGCTCCAACAGCCTCGTACCCACGGGTTTGACGGGGCTGCGGGACTCTGTCACTGACGGGTCTGGAGGAGGGGGAGGAGGAGGAGGAGAAGGGAAGAGGTGGGAGAAGTCACCGTCGGGAGTCACAACGTCCCCCTCGCTCACCAGCTGCTCCGTCTCCGGCAGCTGTGCCCGTTTGTCCGCCTCGGCCTCCAGCGCGGACTCCGCCCGCGGGCTCCACGACTCTCTGTCACCCGTGGACTCTTCCCGTGTCACCAGGACCGGTCCGTCAGTCCGGTCCAAGTGGAAGACCGTCAACAGGTCCGTGTCCCCCAGCAGTGGCACCTTGGACCCGCGGCTCCTTTCATCCTCACCCCGACACCTGGCGGTGGAGCGGGTGACGGTGTCACCTCTCTGCCGGTATGTGGCCGAACACCGGCGGGTTCTTTTCACCAGAAATCCCCGGGGCATGATGCTGATGTCACTGCTGCTGCTGCTGTTACTGCTGCTGCTGCTGATGTCACTGCTGCTGCTGTCACACAGGCGGAGTTGTTTTATAGTCGGGGTGTGG